TTTGGCGGGTTGAAACATCTTTCAGAGGTGATCATGGAAGTCGGGGAAGTTTGGGCACATATGGCCAGTTTGATGGGGTGTCTGGGAGACACATCTGGACACATACCTGGGTGAAACACCTCATTTTACTGGAGTTGATCGTACAAAAACACTAACTCAATGAGGTTTTCAGGACCAGGTTTTACTGCGTCTTTGGACCTGTAGCGATATTGTGCCTACACCGACTCCCTTTTCAACTTGTCAACTGATGGTTTTGATAGGCCCTACATGGATGGTCTGGAGGCGTTTTCCATCGTTTTCCAGGCTGAAACTCGCTTTCGAACGCGGATGAAGCTCCGCAGCTGCACAGTGAAAAGCTCCGATCTGTTCAGAGCGGAAAAAGAAAACGGATGAAGCTGGTGGGGCACGGCTGATGGAGCTGGGAAGTCACAACAAGTCCCTATACAGCTCCGTTCTTCGCTCCCAAGAAGCTGTTTGTGGGTTTGGAGAGTCGATATCCTAATGAAATGCATTCTGAGGAGGTACGTACTTGAAGCCCTAGGGGAGTCCCCCAAGAGAGTCATGGGAACCAGTCATTTTTCAAGTCCACCGCCTACCCGAATCGAACGGTTGGATCGTAGAATCATAGAACTCATGTGGCGACAGCGACGGTGAACGAAAAACAACCAGTCCGGAAGGTGTTTGACCACTTGGATCCAGGTGCTTTTGTATACATCAACATTCTACATTGATAACTATAGGGATCACCACGAATAGAACGGCTTTGCAGGGAACGTTGTGTTTCTTGGTACCACTCAATGTGGCGCCCACTACTGATCGCAGGGCGACACCGCCACAGTTGGTCCCTTGCAGATTGTTTGGGCATGTTTGGGCTCCAATGAATGTCCGATCGTATTGCCACCTAAATGGACCTTTAGAGTGCAAAAACCATGGACACCCCCTTGTTGGTTAGTAAACCCACCCACCTGGATGACAAAACATTCCCAAAAAGGAGGGTCTAGTCAATCAAGGAGTCAACATTCCAATGCCCTTGTTGTTATGATCTTGCAAATGATATCTCCTGCTACAAGTCGCACGCAATCCAGGCTGAACCACTGTCCAACCCTTTCAAAGTCGCATACTCACTATGAAGTAAACTCAAACCATCCATGTAGGATGAAAATTCACCGTCACGGCACCGCTCCGCTAAGATCTCCGCGCCTCCGCTCCAAGATGTCTCTGGAGCCATCTTCCTGTCAACGTGCGAGGTTTGTTCGAACAAAAATGCGGAGGCATCCTCCAAGCCCCAATAAAGTTCACGCAATGTGTTTGCCTGGAGAGATCAAAGACCACGAAGGTCCGTTGTGGCCAAGGAGAACATGTACCATGATTGACTTACTCTTACTCTTAGGCAAAGGCCTCAAATCATCAAGAATCAAGATATATATATATATATATATGAAAACCATCCGATTGAAACCTTCCAACGACAAAGAACTCATCGACTCATCCTCCATCCTCACAATTATCATATAGTTTGAACAAAATGTCCCTTGATTCATGCTGACTCAAAGAAACAGTCGAAACAACATCCACAGCAAGACGAGACTCGTCGTGAGCTTTTACCACCAGTCACGCCTGTCGCACGCCGTCAGGGAAGCCTAAGAACAATGCCATGTCAGGACCTCAGTCGTCCAACATGTCCGGCACCAAGCAACATGCCGCACAACCAGCATGGTCATTCTTGGAGGATGACTTCAAACATCTCCAAACATGACGTGACCCAAACATTTGATGCGACTGACCTATTTACCCACATTGGGGTGGCTGAAGGCGGGTCAGTGTAGGCAAATATTCCATATACGAAGTGTCTGGGTGATGAGAACAATTACTTCGGCCCCTTCAAACAGCAGAGTATAACACTTGTAGCTCCGAAGGTCATACTTCGGCCCGATTGGATGCTTCACCATGCAAAAACCGGAGCATGTCTCCGATCAGACCGGATGACCGAGTGCATCCGAGTCCGAGTCTTCATGCTCGGACAGCCGGGTACCGCACGGTGCTTCTGGGTACCGCCCTGAGCCGACCCTTGCGGGTCAGTCCGTCCTGAATGACTGGCCTTATCAGGGACCCATCCTTAGATACTCCCTAGGCCTCCAGTCGTACCTCCTCAGGTACGGTGTTTGGACCCTCCTGGCACCCACCCCAGTCCCACCTTCTCAGAAGGTACGACTGGAGCCCTAGGGACTATAGATGTACATTGCATCTTTCATTCGGTCACATCACACACATCACCTAGTCACTCAAGTTCACATCACCTACCGCTCCAATTCGCGCACATGGAGTGACTCGACCATCCTCACGTTCTCAATGGAGGATGAACTTGCCATCTAGAAAGCTCTCCATTGAGTCATCATCACATGGAGTCCTCACATCAATTCTCCTGCTCCGGTTTCAACAGAACCGGCACGGCGCTTGGAATGGGACTGGTGCGGCAGAACTTGATCATCTCTCGCCTGTGGTGAAGCCCGAGACGCACGGCACGGCATGGTGAAGACTTCGGTCGGGCCAACACAAAAGGTGTGTACTGCACCTCTGTAGAACTATGAGTTCTTGTTGTGTTATGTAATGTTTGTTATGTACTCTTTTCATTGCTTTTCAACGTGGTATTTCAAGGGACTGGATTCAGTATCCAAGGTCCAATGCTCAAGCAAATCAGCAAAAGCCTGGTTGTTCATCGGATGTGAAGCGTGCAGCATCAACAAATTGACAAGCTTGGAACTTCAACAGGTATGAGAGCCGAGGGCTCCACTGGTGATGAGAACGGTGATGGGATGCTGTGGCTCAAGATACACGCAGGAGACCTTCGTCAACATCCAAATAGTAACGTTGAACTCATACCAGCACCACAACACACATTGAAAGGAAGGTGATTGGATGGTATATTAGATGTGGGGATCCAGGTCTATCAATCACCCAAGCTGGCTTCTGCAACAAAATCAACGTGCTTCAGTTCACCTCGAGTGCCAGTTGCACTGATAAACCAAAAAAGCTGCGAAGCCCAAGGAGTCCGGAGAGCTCACAACGAGGAGTCCGGAGTATCTCGAGGAGTCCGGCGCTGAAGAAACCCCCAGTGGCCCATGAAGCCAATCGATTTCGTAGAGAAGGCCCAATGCCAAGTTTGGTTGTTGAAGGACAAGAACATAGTCCATGTCATCCATCTTGTTCTTTTTTGGAGAGTCAACTTAGGGTTTGAGCCATATCCCATAGCCCAAACGTAAAGGGACCTATAGTCAATGGCTCCTGTCCCACATCCCGAGAAAGTGGTTGGGGTGGCTGCCAGGAAGGTCTAACCACCGAACCTGAGGATATGGTTGGAACCCTAGGGTATAGGTATAGTCAATGAGCCGCCTGTTCCGTATATGGACTCACACACACACACACACCTCAGGCATCGGGAAGCGGTCTTGGTTTGTTGTGCTGATCGTGAAGGCGAAACTGTGGTCCTATACATGTCTGCGAATCAGGAGCTGGCTCGTGTCCGAAATTTCTTGTCTGTTTGGTGCTTTGAACTCACTCACTTGAAATATATTGGACCGCGGGTTCACTCCTCCCAAGGAAGGGTTGAACATACAACAGAACTGGGTAGTGACCAAGAATCCACAGAATGGTCAACACGTACCATGTCAGTGGGTTCACTCGTCCCAGTTCTGGTCGTTTTAACCCTTCTGTGGAACCTTGGCCCGTCTCTCGTCTGTGTGCAGTACCCATTCTGTGGTACCTCCCCATTCTCTCTCCTGCACACAGTTGATGATGGTGACTGAAGTACCAGGCAAAATCTTCTGAAGTCTCGTCCCGTTGATCTTTGATGCTCCGTTCACCGTTGAGTATCGCTCCACTCAACGAATATGAGTGAACATAGACCAGTAGAGCAACAACAAATGGTTGATAGCCTACTAGTGGCCCCCAAAGGCCCCAAATCTCTTGATGTACGATGATGTACAGGAATATGACAGAACACATGAAGTGCCGAGAAGCTTGTTGATGCTTCCATCACCTGGCAGGTGAAACCAGTCAATGATGCTCCAATGGTGTATTGGTTCGAGTGGATCACAGTGGATCTCATTGATCCCGCCATGTCTTACCTACTCCCAGCCCGTCAAGTTCTTTCTTGGTATTGCTGCATGGTGGGTAGATCTGCACAATAGAAGTAAGGAAAATGATGGATGGTCGTCAGTAGCTGGGGAGCGTGTCAGAACAAGAATTATTTCAGGTTATACGATGTAGCACAAAGTACTTGGTGTTGTACCCTTTAAAATGGTGCCCAATTCCACAATAGCCATTTATAACATATCTTTTTCAGCCAGCCAGTCGGTAAACAAACCAAGCAATAATCTGTACACAGATTCTCCGTTTTCGGAGGCTTTCAGAAAAAGGTCGAAGCTTGGCCAAAGGTCCCACTCGTGTGGACGTCGATCAAGTTTCCAGCACCAAAAATAAGGACTAAGGACTTACCTTCTCCAAAAGGCATTAATGTTTAAAAGTCCTTATAACGTTTTGAAGTCCAGTCGCCAGTAAGAACCTGCAGTTCCGAATCCCACCTAAAAAAACAAAATCAGCTTCCAGTCGATCGAGTCTCCAGCACCACAGCCTTTGACTTCTTCCTGAAAACAGAATTACCCAGTCCAAAAGGCATTTATTTCGCTGCCTGGTTACATCAATCTTTCTGGGTGTGTCTGTACTGTGAGGGAGAGAGAAGCATTTGAGCATTTGACTTTAAGGAAAACTAAACTAGACTAGACCCTTCAGTCTAAACGACTGTTTCGGGTAGGCAATTGGGAAGTTTACCAAACCATATCAGACCGGTACTAAACCAAAAGACCATCCGATGTACACTACATCATGTAGACATGGGCGCATAAACAAACTTAATAGGACTGGTCATCTATGTCTGTGGTGTACTGGGTCCCTGGGTGGTCCAGTACTAGTAGTCCATAAAGGCATATAAAGGCTTTTTAGTACGTACTGCAAACAGTGGATAAGAGTTTTTGGAGCTATGGCTGTGGGTCATGGCGCCGGGACACCCTGCTTCGAACAAACGCCACGGTCAACACGCTCAAGCTACCAGGGATCGGTCGGAGTCCGGGTGCCATGATCCACAGCAAGGCCGCTACCAACCTGAACTCGAGGCACAGCTTCCGGCCGCTGCCCAGCTTCCGGTCCGCGACGCCCCCACCGTTTCGATCGACGCTGTCAAAGATCTGCCGCAGCTTCGCCTGCGCAGCGGTCCGTCACGACGCTGCCCATGATATGATCGGCATAATGTGTTTCTATATACTGTAGAGACCATCCATGTCATGAAAACCACCCCTAATCCCAGGGATCCAAGTACCTTCTCAGGTACGGTGATTTTTCAGCATATTGGAGCCACTTCTTCTTGGATCCTTGCTCCAAAATCTAAATATCTGTTCCACGCATTTCAACACATATGGATAGTCTCCAAATGGAGATCCAGAAGTAGTGTAGGGTAGTCCAGCCTGTACACCCAGACATGGTCCTAAAAACTGGTCAAATATGCGAGCAGGCTTGAAGCGAGTGGATTTTGTGTTGAGAGAACCAAGTCCAATCTTCCGCCTCAGCCCTTGGCAAGTCGGTGTTTGACAGACCCAATGTAGTAAACCAAGGCAAGGAAACACCATTAACATCCGTTGAGTAAGGTGACACTCCAGCAATCCCTTTAATGCTGAAATCCTGCTAGGGACATCTCTCATCAAACAAATCAAATACCAGTGTTTTTCACTCCAATTTCATGGGACCACAATACAAACGTGAAGAACACTGACAAGAACTGACCTAGCTGACAAGAATTGACCTAGCGATTCTTTCAAGCCAGTTCGTGGTTTCGTGGCCATCCGAATTGGGTAGATCCGATTTGCCTGGGCCCTATTCCCTTCAATTCTGCATCATGAAGGTTAATCAAGGCCTTTAGCCTTCATCAAGCGCATGATCATCTTTGAGGTTGCCCAGTCGTTGATGAACCATCTTGTGCTGCAAAATGAGCCTAATCTGGCTTCAGTGAGGGACCCAAAACCCCGCCAAGCTCAAAAAAAAAAGGCGCACCTCAGGATCCCTTAGAAAAGAGTTGGAGCGCCTCAGTGACGACACGCGAGCCCCTGTCCAAAACCTTCTCCGGATTTTTGTGTGGCTTCAGTGACGGCATGTTCGAGGGGAGGGTCGGGCCGGCGCCGATCGAATCACAGCGCGAAAAAAAGACCGATCCCAAGAATCGGTCACAATCGGTTGGACGAAGATAGCTTGCACCGGTTGGACGAAAGGTGCAAGCCTTTAGTCTGGTTAGCCTTTAGTACCATCACTCACCGGTGGTTTGTTTCTTTTTCACGGAGTGGATGGGTAGACTTGGGTCTACCGAACCGGTTTGGTAGGGGTCGTTCAGCGGGTCTCATTCGACCTTTCAGGCAACACGCACCTGCCTCTGCTACCGGGCACATCTGGTCTCATATTTTTGGAATGGAAGCTTCACTGACCTGCTTGTAGAGACAACAACTGAACCTGCTTGTGGACACATGAACTGAACTGGCTAAGCCTGCTCGTGCTGGTGACTTCCCAAACGGCCTTCGGAAAACGTTTCTGAGCACAAATCCAACCTCTTAACACTCTATTGGCTTCTGCTGCTGGGACACAAGGAATTAATTTGTGTGCCACCTGCCTGCAAACACATGCTTTTGGCCACATGCTTTCAGCCACATATTGTATTCCCGTGTCCAGCAATTCTGGGCACAAACACACACAGAACCGCAAATAACCAACACACCAACAAACTCTTGCTCCGCATCCAAACACCAAACTCATCCCCCCATGGCGCTCTCTTCTCTGCTCCGCTGTGCTCCCGACGCCCGCTGATGGGCCTTGGGCACCAGACCTGCGACTGGGGCGATTTGAGCAACTTTGACGGCAAAAATCCTCTATCAGGACCCTCACTGCCAGGTCACCACCTGCCACTGCCAGGGCTCCGCACGTTAAACACTCGGTTCAACATGTCTTGGAACACTCGGAGCGTGAACGACGCTTTATCGGTTCACCCTGCCCACACCATGCGGTGTAGCTAATTGGCTGAAGCTCTACTGCATGTATTGTATGGATTTGTCAAGAGAATTTACCAATCACTTGGGGTGGTTGATTTCATTTCAGGGGTCAATCTACAGGCAAATGGCTAATACATGTTGATACATGGAGAGCTTTCTTTCGGGTCGAATCCAGTGTCATACATTCCAATTCACCCCTCCTTGAAAGAGTTCATCTTGCAAAAGAAGGATTCTTGAATATTCTTGAGACTTCCAATTCGAGGCTGTGTACCTCAAACATCCCGACACTCTGCTCCGACACTCAAGGTCTGGCTCCGACCAAGGTCTGGTGGGTTCAAAGACGGCCGTCCAAAGAACCCAAATCCTACAAGATAACTGGATTGGGTCTATCCTACTAGCAGTAAGAGAGGATGATGATGGTTCAGTTGCAGGCCTTTCTCTAAAATAGTGATAACATGTGATAACTGTTACACAGGTCAGTTCGGATAGACCCAATCCATGAAGCATGACACATCCAAGCTAAGGATGGATAGAAGATCCATACCCAAACCCTAGGGATCCAGTCGTACCGAACCTCAGGTTCGGTACGACTGGACCCGACAATGGCACCCACATAACAACTAGTGTCTCCGTCCTCACCGTACCTGAGGTTAAGACAACAGATCCCAAACGGGGCCCACACTCCATGGGTTGGAAACATCGCCAGACCGTTTCGCCGTTTCTCAGTGGCGGGAGTGAGTCAGTCCCGTTGGAGTGCCGGAGATATACCCGTTTGGCCTCCAGTCGAACCGAACCTGAGGTTCGGTGGCCACTGGGGTGGGTGCCAGGAGGGTCGAGTCATACCGAACCTGAGGAGGTACTTGGAGGTGTAGGGATAGGGAAAACATGGGGAAAACATGTCGGTCTCTCTGGGGTCCATCGATGAAAACCACCAGAAGAACGGATTCGAATGGCAAACCAGTGATGGTGGGCACAATTGGTACCAGTCCAAGTGACAAATAGTTTGTTCTTTTGGTGAATGACACAAGTCCACTTGCAATTGTCTGAAGGGCCCTCTCTACCGCGACTTTGGCTTCCAGGTCACTTGCTGTTGCCCATGTAAACCTGTCTTCGGCCCAAAACCGAGTCACGCGTAGCGCTGGGGAAGAAGCATCCCTCGACGCTGTCCCGCGGTCCCCCGCCTGCAGGGGTTTTCTTTGGCCTGACCCGTCGGATGTGCCCGGTGGTGTGGTCAAATGGGTGCTTCGGTGCTTCGATCTGCAACAAGCAGCTGAGCTGAGCTGCCAGACCGGACTGGAATAGTGCCTTGGCGTGATAAATATAGGATCAATGTAAGTAACATGAGTCTCTTCCATACATGGATGGTCTGGAAATATTGAACGTCTCATGCTTTTCATGGCTGTGTCAATCTTCACCATGGGTGATTCCGGAACCCATGACGTCAGTGGAACCTGCACCGTGAAAACAGAACCTGCACAGGAACCTGCCTTCATCTAAAGGATGTCTGCGAAAACCCTCAAGGGACAAACAAATAGAGAGCCCGGAGCCCTAACAACTGTTGTTGTCACCCGCGGGTTCAAACTCTTGCATCATCCTCAACTCGTGAACCTTCTTCGGTCGGACAACCCGCTTGGCTCAGGCCCAAACCTCCCCAAGTCCTCCGGTCGAACCAAAGACTCCAGGGCTTCAAAGATCATGTATGTATTGTTTGGTTTGTCACCTTGTTTGGAAACATGACCTGGAACTAACATACTTAGTGGGATGAGCTCCCTTTCTCTAAACTCTCTGTACTAAGTAGTCCTAGGTCACGCACAAGCCAAACAATACTTCCGCCAAACACTGCTTCTGACCATCAAAAAGAAATGGTGACCTCCTGTAAGATTCTTTGTGTGTTTCCTTCTTTCCATGATTGTTGGGCGACCCTGATCAATTGGCTGCATTGAAAGAACAAGCGCTTGAAACAAGCTGGGCGCGCGGCTCGGGCGACCTCGCCTCGGTGCTTTGGCAAGCGTGCCAGACAAACAATGGTGTTTCTTCAGTTTGAATACGTTTTGCATACATCTCCTTCGGGTGTATTTCTCTTTTTGAGGTGTGACTTCTTCAGTTTGCGGGATGTTTTTGGTTTGGTGGACGTTTTCAAATTCATTTAACATAATACCTCGCGCCCGGCAACAAAAGCCGTGGAGGTCGATGTGTCTTCGACATTCATTGTGGACATCTATTGATTTCGCAGGGGGGCCGATCTCGCTTCCAAGACTTTCGTAGCACATCGCATGTTGGACTTTTTTGTCATGTCCCAGGCACTCCACATATGACATATTTACCTATACATTGGGCCCTGGGGTGGTTGAAAAGGGGTCAATGAGGCGGCATATATAATCCAGTCCCATGGAGTGCTTGCTATGTTGACTATGTTGTTGCTGCGATGGGCCCGATCTCGTGACCCAGCTCATTGTTCACCAGCTCATGGTGAAGTTGCACACACAAATCGATCAGGTCGAATACCAACTTTGCAAGCGCAAACATAAGCGATTGCGGTTCACACCTCGTGGGCTGTGTCATGTTCACTCCAAAATCACACTTTCTAGAGCTCTCAGGCGGTGGCTGCCAAAAGAAGACCCCACCCCAACCCGCCGGTGTCAAACATGTTGTTCCTTTTACGTGGGTTTGGATGGTACTATGCCTTGGGTATATCATCCCATTCCCTGGGCGGATGATGATGGGGCCTGGGCAAGCAGGCCGACATCCTGAGTGATACTTGTTTACCAACGCTCTACATACAGGTTTCCTGGGATACCCCCAAACTAAAAAAAAACTATCTTGAGACATCTCATGCCATAGCCACTAGCCCGCTGAAAAAAGTAACATGGACCCTGAGAAAACCACTGGTTTGTAGGGGAAATGGTCCAATTCACCGGCCAATTCTCTGGTTCCATGTTACTTTCCAGGAGTGTTTAAAACACGCAATTTTTCGACCAAGCTCAACCCAGCTGGACTCGTCAACAGCTGCGGCCGAGGGTCGCCATTCGGTGCTGCCACAGGTGGGTCTGCCTCGGGTATGCGGCTGATCACCATCAGATGTGGGTATATACAGTATATTGTTTTTTTAAAGACAACTCAAGGGTGAAAAGGGCTAGTGGGATATATATAGTGGGTATAGTGCGTCGAAGGGAAAACCTTCATAGACACCCTTGCGTCCTCATCCTGGAGTATATGGAACATGAACCTTGTTGAACAAATTTGGTTTGACCATTTCCCTGTTATTTTGAGAGTGGCTATCCTGCCTTGAGACAGTCCAATTTTTAATCTACTAGGGACCACAAAAAACACAACAACAACACGTAACACAATAGTTTGTCATTTTCTACGTAGTTCTTTGCTTCATGGTTTTCCAACAATTACTGTAATTAGATTGTCTGGAGCCTTGGGGTTGGGGTACGACACCGGGAAGTCCGCGCCCCGTTGTTTTGAATGCAGGGGGGCATGGGCGAGTCTGAGTGCATTCTGTGAGCTTTGACCCTGAGTTTCGGAGATGCGAGGCTTCGCCGCTATAGCCAGTCCGGTCGAGACTCGTCAAACGCGATGTTCCCCTTCATAACGATTGTTCATGAAACACATGAATCTGAGGCTCAGGGGCTCAGGGGGCTGTGCATAGTGATCCCGTGATCCCCTCAAACAAACAACAACAACCTCCTGCGGTCGGACCTGCAACAAGTCTGTCAGATGGTGTCGTTGAAATCTAAAGGCTAGATGAGAAACTGTGGAGGAAGCCGCCAACAACTCTAAGCCTCCGACACTTTGGCAGGCTGTTGCATCCTGGCGGAGAACAGAAGTGGCAAGCGCGGCCAAGCGGCGCTTCCGTGAGCCACATGTGTAGTTTGGCGCTTCCCACGTGTTAGTCTGAAGACCGGTTGTGTTCTTGTGTTTTGAAGGGCGTTGCTTTATCTCCTCCTCTCCTCCTCCCTCTCCTCCTCGCCAGCAAGTTACAGCAAGTGGCAGATTGCAGTGGGCCAAACAAAAGCCAGATCGCAGCGGGCAATGCGGGACCTCAACAGCAAGCGCCAGATCGCAGTGGGCACAACCAGGCCTCAACCGCAAGTGCCAGATCGCAGTGGGCACTACCGGACCTCAACTGCAAGCGCCAGACCCCAACCGCAAGTGCCAGCTCACAGTCAGCAATATACCGGACCTCAACTGCAGGTGCCAGATCGCAGTGATCGAAGACCACAAAGCCCACAAACATGGCAACATGCTCCTTGCCATGGCATGAAAGCAAATGATTGACATGTCATGGTGGCGATCACTCGAAGTAGAGCAGCTTTTTGGGCGTATCAACAAATTTTTCCTTTTCAGGCCTTCAGTCACTTCTGTGACAACTTTCATCCCGCCTGTCACACCCTCATACTGGCTCACGACTTGCTCGAGAGAGCAGCATCGACATACATTTTTCTTCGAGGTAGTGCAGGCTCTCATACCTGACAGCCATCCCATGCAATGATCAACTTCAGTGTTGCAAGCGCTGAGTGGCACGAGACCCCGCCTTCCCACCTCCTATATAGCCCGCAAGCAGGAAGCTGGCATACCCAGCCAAAAATGTCAAGCCTTCATGAGTGGAACCAGACTGTAGGAGCGTGTGTGGAAAGTCAAAACACTCCTGTTTCAGTTTCGAGGCCATTTTCTCAGTGAACTCTCACCTCTCTCATTTTCCACGGAAAATCAGCTCACTGTCCGTGACCTTGGATTTTGCCTCAGCAAGTTTCACTGACATCTTCGTTTTTGAGAAGGAAAATGCGCGATGTAAAGCAAACAATTCATGAGTGAGTGTTCACACTGAAACAGTTCTTTTGGGGGTGAAGGTGGTGTGGAACGGCGCAGAACCCAACACTCACGGAAGCACAGTGCGGCTTTTTTCATTTCTTTGCTGAGGCTGCGTGACCTTGTTTCGATGATGGTGCAAACGACGAATGGATGGAAAACCGCATAGGGGAGCGACTTAATCCTTTGGTCAGGAATGGTTGCTGATGATAGGCATGGCTCCAAGTGAACGCTAGCAAAATCACATGGTCAGGAATGTCTCGCTCAAAAGTCAGCGCATGGACAGTTTGCATGCAAGGTCGGTGGCTCGAAGGTATGCGGGAGTGGGAAGTTTGCACAGACGCTGCTTTACAGCAGCTGGGCGCGCTTAAACAGTGTGGCCTTGCGCCCTTGCGCCGTTGACGAGTAGCTTTCTGCTTTCAGTGTGCCATGGAGGAAAGCATCAGCGAGGGGCTCGAGAACATGAGCCATAAGTTTGTTGAGCCTTTGAGGAACATAGACTGACAAGATGCATGGGCGCTTGTTTCTGCGACGTGGCTTGAAGCTCTCTTGGTGGCAGTTGCGTGTAGAAAGCTGAGAGGCTGCTGAAGGAGCCACTTGGCAATGCTTAGCAGCTACTAAACTTCCTGGCGTGAAGGCTTGAGCGGCTGTGAGCCAACATGGCCTGTGGCAAGAAGCACACTGTGGCATGTACAGTTGCTATGTGCATCTGGCGCTTGCAGCATCTTGAACGTTTTAGATCGTTCAGTGGCATTTTTGTGGCAGCCGGCGTGCAACTTATTCTGCTCCTCGACGCTCTTCAAGCTGCATCCTGCGAAGCCCTTGCAGATGGTACTTCCCGGCAAATCAACCCACTTCCTCCCCCCGAAGTGGTGGTCCGCCCATACTTCGAAAAGCCAGACCAAGCCTGCAGTTGGCTCTGGCTGGTAGGCTATGCCACCATGCAGCGATCGCCGGTTCCAGGCCCTTGTCAAAGAACAAGCAGAACCGGGCATTGCCAAGCAGCCGGTCGAAGGAGCTGTGACGCCGCAGGGAGCCAAGGAACACACCATTTGCCTTGAAGAAAGAGGCGTCCTGACCCTGCTCACTCAAAGGCAAGCGAGGGCCAAAGCTGGGGGGGGTCTTCCAAAGCTGGCCGGGATTTGCCACGATGGCCTTGTCAACTTGTCATTGTAGCCTTTGCAGTCATACATTAACATGACCCTGTCCGACTCCACGCGCTGCCTGACTGGTTGCAAGTAGCGAGCGCTGAATCTTGACTTGCACTTGTCGCATGAGTGGCTGGAGGCCGTCGCCCGGTTCAGTGGCCTTGACGTTTTTTGCAGTCCATGCCTGTCAAGTATGCTCCGGGGCCCGAAGGACTTCTGAGCTTAATTAGTGATGTTTTCATGCTAGGTGCAGCGTCTTTACCGACCCTATGCGCTCGTGAACGTGAAAGTGAACATGGGATAAGACGACTTCCCAACACTAAATGGAGGTGTACCGCGGGTACGTCGTCTCATGGGTCATGTAAATAAATTTACACCTCTCTGCAAGGGCCGGTCAGTCAAAAAGACTGCCACATGCGGCTGTGGATCATGGCACTAGGGACAAGCGTGAAAAAACACTGCGGTCATGAACAGAATGTTCCCCATGGAACTGCCAAAGTGTCCGCCAATGTAAACGCATCACTACACGACCAAAACTCTTTCAACTAGTGCCCGTTTCCTTGTGGAGAAAGTCCCCGCCACACCGTCCCTGCATGGATTGGAAGTAAAACACAACGGAAAACACACCAAATCACCATGGAACTCTGTTGCTCAGTGACCCTGGAAATGTTGCGCAATCCAAGCAACAAAGCCTTTGGCCTAAGTGCTTTCCCCATGCAGCGCTGATGATCCTGCAGCCTTCGTGGAGCAAGCTGCTTACTTCTTGCAAAGTCAGCAACCCTTCGGCTTTGCTACAAATCGCAATTTCCTGTTCGTGGTGTGGCTGTCCAGCCACATCTCCCGAGGTTCCCTCTTCATGAGAACTTTCGAAAGAATGATCTCCTTCTGCACCAGGACAGACAAAGGATTTGACTTGTTGGCTTTGCTTTGCAAACTCTGCACATAAAACTCCACAGTTGGGAGAATCGAGCCGGAGAGAGCTTAAAAAACTATCGGCAGGTGCAGGCCTCCTTGGCGGCTGGTGGCAAGAAGATGCTCCACATCACGGTTGCTGAGAACTCGAGTACTTTTGGAGGCTTGATCCAGTCCGCAGGACAATGTTGAATCAGGTACTCCTTCGCTGGGGTCTCCACACGTCCGGCAAAACTTGGGCGGCAGGCGACCTGTCGGAGCTGGCCTCCTCAGCCTGGGGCACTGTCTCTAAAGCGGGCTGAGCATGAGTGGCGAGGAGCTCGCCAAACTTGCGGAGCTCAGAGGCTCAGTCCGGCCCATACACGACATCCGAGCACCATTTCTTGCGAACCTCAGAGCTGATGACAGGCCCATCTGCGGACATTTGCAGCAATTGCAAGCCCCCGGGGCGGGGGGGGAGGGAGTGCTTCGTGGCTTCCTCCGGAGGCATCTCTGCACAAAGCTTATTTTGCTGCTCGGGCACGTGCGAAAAGACTCCGCTTGAAATGTCTGCAAAGGTACTGCACTACATCTTCCAGGCTCATTCAGATCTAGCTCCCTATCCGAACTGCAGCCATGCAAGATACATCTCCCGCATGTGGCATTCCAATCTTTCCGGTGTAGATCGGTATGAATTCAGTATGCATACCTCTCCCACGAGGTGACTTTGCAAGAGGCTACTGCCAAGCCTTCCGTGGAAAGACTCACCAAAAAACAATCCCTGCCACCTGCTTCTGCTCTGACACTGGCTCATCTTCTTCGCTGAGGCGAGCTCTTTTGCTCTTTAGAGTGCAGATCATCTCACTTGCCATGGCTACAGCAATGTGCCAGCTTGAGACCAAACTCTCACATCTCAACATCTCAAACATCTCAACATATAGTAGCGACCTATGGTGTGTGCAATCCCCCAATGGATTGACAGTAATCACAAATGACCGGCTGCGACTTCAACAAGGGGTTTCAGGTGCCATGACTCACAGCTAGGTCGTCCCCACCAGATCTCGGAACTAACAGGTCCAACCCCAAGAGCTCATTTGAGGGTCATCCGAATAGCTGAGTTGGACCCACATGCTTTGGTCGTACCCAAGGCTTCTGATTTCAGGTATTGATACAATTCCTGGAAGCTGGAAGGAAGTAGGAATATGGTCTGTGATGGGTTCTTTGTTCGAGCCTATACATATTGTCATCGTTACTATTTTTCGAATCGCAGCAGTCTTGAGGTACCACAGGGATGTCTTACATCAGCCCGCCGTTCCGCTCGTCTTCCAAAACACTGCAGGTCATCGTCTCAGTGGGTGTCGCGCATCTGATTGAGGACTTCATCGGCCGCTGCAAAGTGGCTGCTGAATGCGCTCTTAAGGGTGCATTTAGTTCTGAAGAACTGGAAGGCACTTTCTTTGTGAAGGGTATTTATAGCAAACGTTGCAAACACATGTTCAACCAATCGATTCTCGATTTACTCTCCTCCCCCCCCCAAAAAAAAGGAAGAACCCGCGACCCACGAACGCCAAAAACAACAAAAAAAACAAACAAACGCCACACGGCTGCTCCTTCCGCCGGGTTTCCACTTTAGGCCTTGGTGCGGTGTGCTTCGCCCGTGCCGTGCTGAACCCCTTCGACGGGTGCCCGGCACTCCATGGGACGGACCGGCGCGTGGCCGAGCCCCGAGAAGGGAAAGGAGGTGAAAGCGCGTGGCGCATGGAATTGGAGGTTCTGGATTTGAGTGGAGAAACCAACAAAACTGTGAATCATGTGAGGTTTTGCAGGTGAGAACTGTGAAGTAGGTATGTGAACAAACTACTTCTATTGACCAGTATTGACCCGTTTTTTTTCAATCACCCCAAGTGACGGGTCTTTTTGATGCCAGTAAAGGGCTATCTTGTCTTTCCACAGGTCCTTTGCCAAGGGTGTTAACCTTTAGTGGGTTGGTGAGAACTCCCTTCTAAACCAAAAGGACCGATGGTCTAAGAGATTCTAAGAGTACCCCTCAAGACAGTCAAGCTATCTTTCCTGAATTCATTGCGTACGGCGTATGGCTCAACAACAAGACCCAAAGGAATGGCTCAAAGGCTGTAAACCGGGTCACCCACTGACTCGTAGTCGGCCGGGTGACCCGAATCGGCCGTCGCCGTCCCCGACGGCTGGGATCTGTTGAACTCCAAGCGATGACAGATCGATCCGTGCATCAAAATGACCCCTAGGGCTCCAAGTACCTGCTGAGAAGGTGGGACTGGGGTGGGTGCCAGGAGGGTCCAAATACCTTCTGAGAAAGCACGTGGAGCCCTAGGGGACATAAAATGACCGTAGGTTATAGGGGACATAAAATGACCGTATACGGTAAGACAAATTGACCGTTTTCTGTAGGGCATCCCCCGTTTTCTGTTGATCAAGGACGACTGATTGAACCAACACTGAGCAGCAAAATCAAACTCGTCCTATCTCTTCATCTTTGAAGAGCTTCCTGTCAAGCTTGATAGTTTTGTTAAATTCCATACAGCTTAAAGATCTTAAAGTCAGCTGGAGACGTCTTTGGACTCCATCCAACTCACATAGTTCATCATAGTTTTAAACATCTCCAAATAAATGCCCCCTCTCTCCCCAAACAAAACAAAACCACCAGTCAACCACCTTCCTTCCTTTTTGAAGCCTGACAAGTCGTCCCAACCCAACCCGCGCCGCCAACGACGGGCGCGGTGTCCCGGCGGCACCAAGGCCTTCGGCTGCGTCTTTGGCCGTTCCTGGCGGACCAGAGGGCGCTTCCCCCCCGTCCGCGACCGGCGCGGCGCCGTCAGGCGCCGACTCGGCTTTCCTGGAGCTTCTTAAGGGGTGTCCTGTCTGGAAGGTCCCTGATCGTGGTGGGCTGAGGCGAAACCAGCCAGGTGACCCCGAACTGAAGGTGCTGGTTGGTTCATCTTTTTGGAGGGCTTTGGATCAATTTCACGGGATGGGTTCTTCAAACCGGTGTTTTGGTTCGTTGTTGGATTTCGAGATGTTCCGGGTTGTGGGATGGACTCGCCACCAACTCCACCACTTTTGTGGCACTTGGTGGGTGCATCCAATGTAGACTCTTGACAAAACTCTCACCATCCCATAGGAAGAGGTCTTTAAAATCATCAAAAAAATATATAGGGTTTATATAATATTAAGAATCTACATTAACAAATGTAGAAATGGAGGGCATCCAGGCCTCCACTCGGAGGCCCGGGCCAGCTTTCCCGCCTGGCAGAACGGCAGCGAGGACGGGGAACGGCTGGCCCGGCTGGCTGGTGTGGGGTGGGGTGTGGCATATCAGAGCGGGAATGCCCTCCACATGCCATGTCTGCAGTGTTTAGATCATCACTGTATGACTCGATCTATAAGTCTATATAGAAAGCTCTGAGGTGCAAGGGATGCACTTGCTTGTGGATGTTGTGTTGGATGCTCGGGGATCCTCCCAATATCGGTCTCGACAATCCAATTCCATGGTCAATCTATAGTCGCCAATGATACCGAAGACATTCGATATAGGTCAGAACCCGCGAGCCTGCGGATTGGCCGAACCTTCGTCCTCCCAATATCGGAACGTCTTCGGTCGCAGCATCTTCTGTTCGTCTGAACTTGTGCTTTGCGGATGACCGTCCGTCCACGCATGGTGCGCTTTCCGTCACCGGAAGCTGTGCTTCTTCCACCCTAGTCTCGTGTGGTCTCAAACCATCCAGCAAACCATCCCCCCTCGGTCTCATCCCTCGGGTCTCTCGCGGGGTCGAGGGATCCATGACCTTTGAATAAGACCGATCTGCTAACCTAGCTGGTCATGGACCTCGGATAGCTTCATCAAGAAAGTCTCTGGTAAACCATCTTGCATCCCCTTGTGTTTCTATTGGATCTTCAACAAACAATACTCACGATATCTCACGAACCAACCGCACCACCCTGCACAGCAACCTACCACAGGCCATGATCCAACCGCACCCCCATCATCGCACACTCGCGTGTAACAGAACGGCAATGAACTGCTATGAACTGCATATCCACAGATATCACGCTGTTAGGCCTAAACCTGTACAAGGGAGTGGATTTGTTCTACCTTATCTATCCGTTATCATGTGTTAAACTCAAAGAAAAACCACCGTTCATCTCCACATGAGACACCATGATTCACGTGGCTGTCCGGAGACCATAGCGCCATGGTATATGTTTTTGTTCCTGATTCTCTGTGCACCCCACTGGGCCCAAAAAGCACCAAAACCGCGGTCCGCCAACCACGCAGGTTCAGGTGCGGGTGGCCCGAACTTCGGACCTCCGCGGGCTCAGTTGGCCCAAGCAATTCGGATTTCAATTCGCTCGGACCAAAACAACGAAAACAAGTTCGAGGAACAATGATCTCGACAGGCTCCAAAACAAGTTCACTGAAGATTCGGATCATTCTTCCGCTTGTTTTTGGTGATTGTGTCTTCAAATCTCCACAACAAGCAGAACAATGATCTCGACCGTCTCCTCTGTGAAGACCTGGTTTGGTCGATAGGAAGGTGGAACGTATGCCCTACGCATTCCCCTGTTGCAGGATGTCAAGACTATCTAAGAAAGCAGTGTAACAGGACAACTTGCTCAGCAATTCCTTCAAACAGAATCAGTGCTCGTCGTTGGTGCCCGCCCTTCTCACAGGCACCGATGGCCGCGCCAAAGGTGACCATGTCGGGCAGAACCTTCGCCTTGGGCATAGCATCAAACAACCACAAAGCTTGCTGCCATTGCCCGCCCTTTTCGCAGGCACTGATGGCCGCACCATAGCTAATAACGTCAGGCAAAACATTTGCCTTTTGCATTACCTCAAACAACATGGCTGCTTGCTGCCATTGCAAGCCCTTCTCACAGGCACTAGTGGCTGCATTGTAGCTGATGATGTCGGGCAAAAGTCTTGCCTTAAGCATGGCCTCAAGCAACTCCAATGCTTGCTGCCATTGTCCGTCCTTCTCACAGGCACTGATGGTCGCATTGCAGCTGATGATATTGGACTGAACTTTTGCCTTGGGCATAGCCTCAAACAACATCAATGCTTGCAGCCATTGCCCGCTCTTTTCGCAAGCACTGATGCTTGCGCTGTAGCTGACAACGTTGGGCTGAACTCTTGCATTGATCATGAAAGAAAACAACAACAATGCCTGCTGCCATTGCCCGCCCTTCTCACAAGCACTGATGGCCGCACAATAGCTAATGACGTTTGGATAAACGTCTGCCCTTGCCATGCTCTCAAACAACTTCAATGCCTGCTGCCATTGCCCGCCCTTCTCGCAGGCACTGATGCCTGCACTGTAGCTGATTACATTTGGCTGCATGTTCGCCTTGGGCAAGGCCTCAAGAAACTCCAAGGCCTGCTGCCATTGCCCGCCCTTCTCACAGGCACTAATAGCAGCATTGTAGCTGATGACGTCTGGCTGCACTGTTGCTTTGAACATCGCGTGAAAACACCTCAATGCTTGCTGCAATTGCCCGCCCTTCTCGCAGGCGCTGATAGCTGCGTTGTAGCTGATGACATCTGGCCAAACTCTTGCCTTCGGCATCGCATCAAACAATTTTAATGCCTGCGTCCATTTTGAAGCCCTGGCACAAGTTGAGATCCCAACAGTGTAGTCAGAAACACTGAGTTCTTTGGCACCATCTTCTATGATTGCCTCCAAGACAGCATACACGAGACATGCTTGCTGATGCTTTTGCCACATCCGCAAGACTTGCTGAAGGATACGTTTGCAGCGTCTCACTTCTGGCAGGAGCACTCCAAGATTTCCTTGGATCTGTTGGGGACTAAGGGTGAAGACAATCTTTTTGCATGGCATGGACATTCATGGATAGATTAGAATTAAGCATTGAATTCTTTCAACGTATCCACGTCAACCTACAAGCGAGGATACAATAGCCGTCAGTTGGCCAATTTCTTCCTCCGTGAGGTGGTGGCAACACCGTAATATAATGTAATATACAATTTCACTCCAAGATCATTTACTGGAGGTTTGGCTTGGAGTTGACTTGAGGATACTTGAGGTAGTTCAGCATCCTCAAAGATCCTCCAGCTCAAGAGTGTAGCAGCGTAGCATGTTGTAGCCATGGTGCGTTAATTTTGGGCCATATCGCAAAAAAGCATCGCAAAAAAACAACAATATAGCGGATTGAGAGTACGTAGATGGCGCAATCCCCAAATGGATCCCCATCTAAAACACATCTTGGGGGGGCACCTGCGCCATCTACTCTGAAACCACTGTAGAAAGACTCGTCCAGGTCTCCCTCTGTCACGGTCTCGCACAGCTTCACCACCGCTTCCTCCTCGTGCTCTCCAGATCGAAGCCTGCCGACGCAAGAAGCGTGGAGCTCGGCTCAAGATGGACTCGTGACTTCTGGGATATGTTTGCCCCCAGGAGGCGAAGCAAGAAGAAAGAAAACGAAGCACGATCATTGAGATCTGTCGAGAAATTGATGTTTTACCATGTTCCCTTCCCTAAGAATCCAAGTCCGGACCCTCCATGGCAGGGGTCGGACACTCACAAAAACAGCCGGACGTCGGGACCCGAACCAAGGCCTTTCCTATTGGTTCGGGTCCGGATTCTTAGGGTCGAGTTCCTAATTACTATACCCAGACCCTCCATGTATGGCATATTTACCTACATTGGGGTGGTTTCAGGGGTCAATGTAGGCATATGTGCCATACATGGAGTGTCTGGGATATAATAGAGTTTCTATACAAAGATCCTCACCCTAGGGCTCCAAGTACCTTCTGAGAAGGTGTTTGGGGTGGGTGCCAGGAGGGTCCAAACACCTTCTGAGGAGGTACGACTGGAGCCCTAGGGTCAGGATATACCGCAAGCAACTGCTCCGACCGCTGGACCTTCGACCGCCGACGCCGGCCACCGCGCCACCCGGTCACCCGGTCGCCGCCGCGGAGCACGGAGCATCGATCCGATTGGGAACTCTGTGGCCCAACGATGTTTTCATGTGTTGGAAAACTGGATCCAGTCCATTTTAGCCGGGTGTTGGGGGCAAGTTCATCCAGCTCAACAAAAACCTCCAGAGTCCCCATGAAGAGAATGCGTTCTCTTCATGATTGATCGTATTGAAGTATCAACCGTCAACCGATCCCATGTTTGAGAGTGATTGGTACTGAGGCCTCAAATCAGCATACTAGCTGGACCGGGGATCTACTCAAAGATCATGGGGAAAAGAGTAAACAACCTCATGACTTGCATCAAAGTCAGTTTAAAGGAAAACACCAACCCAGGAAGCAACGCAGCACATCCCCATCAAATCAGGTAGGCTACGGTAGCCTCTATCCAACATGGAAGTCGAACCTCCCTGTTTGTAGAAAAACATATTGTTTTCCATAGAGCCCTGCCCACTTCCATGACTCGGGGACTTACTTCGCCTGTCTCACTTGCTTCATGGTCGTTTCCTCGCCTCCAGGTCGCTCCGAAACGCAATGGCAGGCTGTCATCGGTCGTTGCACCAATTCCATCCGGTCGTTTCACGAAGGAAGACATGCATTGTTAGGGGAAATCCGCCACGTCGAAAAGCAGATCCGCACGGATCCTTTCCGAGTTCTGCTGATCCTCCTTGGGCCAAAGACTGATGGATATTTGACTGAGGGATATTTGCTCCAGACATCCATCGCCGAGCCGGCAGTGCGCGAGCCGGCCGTGCGCACCGGCCACGGTCGACTCCCTGGTGGACCAGGTCAACGGACCTGTCTCGATTCGAGGTCGGGTCGCCCCTGGTGGACCGAAGAAAGGGTCAAAAAGGGTCAACCTACTAGGGTTTCAGGGTACGGGGGTTTTAACCCACAGCCATTTTGTGTGTGATTGTTTACCCCATGTGATTTGTTCGTGATTAGTGTGTCGCACCCTCCCATCGGTGGAGAGGACGAGCCGCCCCTCCTTTACAAGGAAAAAAATAACAAGACTCATGATCCCATCAGGGCTGGAAAAGGTCAATTGGGGGATCTACCCTCCATGTGTATATATGTATAATTATGTATATACATACTATAATATATTTTATATTGTGTCAACACTACACTGCCCCATCAAACTTGTTGGTTCCCTTTTCGCAGTTATTTGTCGAGAACACACGGCAAGAACTTATGCAAACTTGAACCAATCCACTTTCCAAAGTACTGCTGGGTGGATAGCCTAGTTACAGTAGCAAGCAAGCTTGGCAGCCAGAGATGAAACAACATGATTCCAGTAGGAAGAATCATGGGAAAACATACCTTTTGAATATAAAACTGTTCATCTGCCTGTGCTTTGCCAAACAACATCCACCTACCTTTGGAAAATATCCAGTAGGCAATCGACAACTATGACTTTGGGACAAGAAGCCCCTGGTTGCTTCTGGATTTCCTCCTTGGTGAAGCTTTTAACAGGCCTCCGTCCGACGCCAAACCCCAAGACCTCAAGTAAAACAGAGTCTAACACTTGCAGGTGCCTGGGCCTGATTATGCCTTATTGCTTGAGCCCAGCCATATGATGGGGAGATTTAAACATTATTGGCATGTGCGCTGGACTGCTGGTTTGTTCGCACCATAAGGCGTGAACACCATGTTGATTCGACTGCCTTGGAGTTGTTTCAGGGATAGGATAGGCAAGCAACCGGTAGGTTCCTGTTTCGAGTCGAAGGAAGCAATAATACCTATTTAACCATATTCTCTCTCTCTCTATATATATTGTATATACATATGTATCTGAAAAAGGACAATTTTGCCAAACGCCTCATAAAGTACTTCTAGTCACTGAATTGGTCGAAGGCCGATCCGAAGATCTTGGACTCTTCCCCAAAAGGGTGAAGAGGCGAGGAGGGGGAAGCACCCGCGCCTGTCCATCCTGCACCAGGAGGACCTTTGGGCCTTGCACGAGACACGTCGAGAAGAGCATCAACAACTCAGGAACTGTAATACCAATACCAGCCATGGAACTGGCCTATTATACGATGAGGTCAGGGGTGGTTGAAGAAGAGGTCTTTCTGGGGTGGCATGTTTGTTCTTAGTTCAGTCCCATGGACGGTCTGGGATAGATGTGTATTGCAAACATCCAGCATTCTGGATTCGACTTTGGATGTTTAAACTTCTGAGTCAACCTACTCAACATCTTGTTTCACTTGGATTGGCTTAAGGAACCCGGACAAAAATACCGAATCTTCCCCAGAAGTAGGGGATTTAGCCCAGTTCGGGAAACCAACACATCTCCTGATCTGCAAGTCACCTGGTGAACCCCATGGGTCTATGAGATCGGGCTGTGCGTTTCATGGCTGGCGCGATAAAGCCCGTCGCCTGTGTTGCGGCAAAGCGAAGGCTGGCGGCCGCGGACACAGCATTGGTCGGAAGGCACCCAAACGTTCAACGCCGGCTCCGTAGCGTTCGTGTCTTCACGGTGTTCGGGATGAATTGTGGTCAGAGTATGAATTGGGTCTGGGCGGCTAAAGCTCTCGGGGTCGGGGTAGATCTTCTGTGGAGGCCGCGTGTGGTATCTGGCATCTCACCTGTGCCAATCCAACAGTCTGGAACGTGGATCGGAGGATGATTGACTTGCTCTCATGCTGATCAGCTTCGATGCTTTTCTTCGCGGCGCAATGACGTTGAGGGTGCTCCAGTCGACTAAGTACGCCTTGGTCTTGCAAAAAAGAATCAGGCGCTTGTATGTTGGCATGTGAGCCGTGCTTCAGCAGGAACGACGAAACGCGCAAACATGTACAAATCATATTCCAAACCATCCCTCGGACTGGTGTATACTGTATATGCAACCTAATGGACACCTTGTTCAACCACCTCTGGCCTGATCGATCAACAGGCCGGTGCCATGTACATCTCATTACATCTCTGTTAGGCCAATCCCATCCACCTCAAGTGGCGTTTGGCGATCGCTATAGCAGCTTGGAGAGCAGCAGAATCTCCTTGAGATGCTCACCCACAAAAAATTGCTGTGTGGCTGCGAAACCTGTCTTCTGTTTTGTTTTTTGTCCAAAATAGGACTTGGGCTATCACTGATGCGGTCGTTGACACAGCCCACACACTTCATGGGACTGGACTGGCCTTCTTGACCTACCTGGACTGCCGGTCGTGTCTGGGATCCAGTCCTAGGATCTGCGAAGTCGACGAAGTCGAGCGGCCATTCCTCCAGACCAATGGATGAGTCTTGGGTATATCATCCCATTCCCTGGGCCCAGTGGATAATGACGGCTAGGTTGCAGGCCTTTTTCTAAAATTGTCATACTGTCATACCCAGACACTCCATGTATGCCATATGCCTACATTGACCCCCAAAAGCACCCCAACTGATCGGCATATATGGCAGTCCCATGGAGTGTCTGGGATATCTACTTGTTTACCGACTGTTACAGGCAGTGGGACACCCCCCAAAATGGGTCATACATGGGGTACAGGTAGCATGTAACTATTCCAATGGGTGGCCATCCTCGGGCGAAAGGTGTTGTCACCCCACCGCAGGACAGGCGTCTTCGAAGCTGTTGGTCTTTGGGGGACTGTGATCACCGTGCTATCCCTAAGGATCCACTGGCACCCTCTGAGCTAGGGGTGGCTAGATCAGTTTGACGGAGTGTGAGGGATACGACTTCTCCACTTAGGATACCGTCCGAGTTCATGGCGCCCCCCACACAACCATGCCCATACCCTCATTTTCTCACTCGCCAGATACATGCCGAGCGGAGCCTGGCAGCAGGGGCAAGCACATGGACGAGGTGCTGCGTCTTGGACGAAGCCTGGCTTTATGAGGAAAGGTTGGTATGCATTACTATGCCAAGTACATACAATTCCTCAAAACTCTTGACGAACCAATAATCGTATCCACCATATCCGAACGATTTTGGGCAAAGCTCCTCAATATCTTTACGCACATATCCCTGGAAATTACCCCCGAAGAGTGATACTTGTCTCTCTGAAAGGATCAATCTTTGGGGAAGCAGGGTGACAAAAAGCCTCGAGAGTGAGACTAGTTGCTCCAGAACTGTGTTTTCTATGTTTTTGTTGCTCCGCAACGTATCTAAAACGCAAAGCGACCGTTAATTGAACGCAATTACGGTTGGACTGATTGTTTCTACTCCGGAGTGCTTCTTGTCACACCACTTTCCAAAAGATTGATGATTTCAAAATGGAGTGATAATTATCACTCTCAGGGATACCAGGTCCTATATCTTTATGATTATCTTAGCCACCTTAAATATAAAAAATGCTCTTCGCATAATAGCAAACACTTCTTGATTTAACGGCTGAAACATCCTTACACCTTTGAACATCCGTGTTTTTGTTTGTTTATCCCTCGCTGTGAACACCCTTGGACCCTTGGAGTACCCTTCCGGACGAAGAAGGACTCATGCAAGAACCCTAGTCGGTGCAAGGTTGACTGGGATTTCAATCCAGAATAATGGCTCACATGCTTCCAAAACCTAGCTGCATCTCGTCGACATAATACCATGTTTAAAACACCAAACTAAGGGGAACTTGTCAACTGGTAGAGTTGCTACTAGGAATGACCGCCAGGCAGGAAGCCTAAATAGCAAAGGGGAGCCGCCTGTATCCCAATATGTCCTATATTATATCATATTAGTATTTGTCTAAATATAAACACCGCATCCCCCCCAAAAATGGCTTTCCTGTGTTTTCCTGCGCTGCCGGCATTGCGAGATGTTCTTGCCTCCTCTGCAAGTCTGTCACCCAGAATTCTGATCGGTTGCTAAGATGCAAGCTCCTCGTCTATGTCCATCCCTAAGGCGACCTGCTGCTGGATAGCCAGAAGACTGTTAATGCGCCGCAAGTCTATACAAAAGCAGGTCGGTGGAGGAGAGGGAGTTTAAAACCACATCATATTGAAACCAGTCTCATCATGGTGTGGGACATTCACAAACTGAGCGAAGCATAGCAGGAGACTCCATTGGTAGGCTGATTGGCCCTTGATCCAGCCTGTAGGGCTTTACAGAACCATCTCCGGATGAGTCTCCTGGTACAACGGTTCAAGTATAGTCCACCAAGAACGTTAAGATTATCACATCCTATCACCTGTTGGGGTGACACATCAAAGTTTGGTGTTGTTTGGTGATATCCCCAAGTCCTAAAGTTTGGGAAATACTTTTTCTTGACTTTCAAGGTCCGTGGTCTATGAGCGCCAGCGAAAAAGTTGAGGAAAGAAACAATACCAACAAAGACGGCTCCATTCGGTTCGTGTCGTCCCGGGAAGAAGTAGACCAGTATGTTTAATGTAGACTCTTGATTGTTAAAGCACCCCATATGAATATTAATAGTTCTTTTTCACTCCAAATGGGGGTGGTTTTTAATCAAAAGTCTACATTGGTTTATGAAACCATTTCCGGTTCCACTTGGATAGACGCAGTCTGCACTGCATTTGGTCAGTTGGGCACCATGGTCCAAACGGGACCTTCTGAAGAGTGAACAACCTCCACCTTTAGGTCAAACATTCAGCGTTAGAAGAAGCTGATGGCGCTGACTCCGTCAGTTTCGCTGGAAAAAAACACTTAACCTCTTTCCATCAGTTCCTCTTTCGTGGGGTGCCTCCCCGCAAACCAAAGATCCCCAAAAGAGGTATATATCCTGCAGGTTCTCCCACGTACTTCCACCTGCGAAAGTGATAGACACCGTCCCAATCATATCCAAGGCCAGTTGAAAAGTCGGCCTTGGAGACCCCTCCACCGAGCGATTTGTTCCAGTTTCGGTTGGGTTCCGGGAACCACAAGAGGTACTGCCCAAACAAGGCAGACGGCAAGCGCAGGCCGTGAGGGACTCGCGGAGTTCTACTGAGAAGGTCATAGACAGGATTCTTTAGACATCACAAGCCAGCAGGTCAGTTTGACCTCATGAAGGAGTAGGTCATACAAAAGCACTACTCAAGGGAGTAAAGGACCAGGTTTTGCTAGGTCTTTGGACTTGCAAGGGGAATCAAACATATAGTATTCTATTGGGCCTGGGATGGAAGCTGCACATTTGCAAAGTGATTTGGGAACATCTGTTCTTCATTCTTCATCATATCAAAACTGAATCTGATTGGTGGTTTCAACTCGTGTTTCAACTCACTTGAACAATATTAGTCGGTGGGTTCAATCATCCCAAGTAAAGGTTGAATATAAAAAGCATACTATACAAACACCACCACCCAGGGATGATGATCAGGGACCAGAAGACTCCGTATCTATTGTGCTAAGCAATTTCTGTTGAACTGACAAGCTTGTTGGAATGGGACTCAAACTCAAATATGAAAGCTCCGTGGAACCAGAAGCGGCTCGAGGGTCCCAGCTATCACCAGCTGTCAGTTCCAGGAGAAGCACAGAGAAAGATCTCCAGGCTCGAGGGTCACACCCTCAGAAAACATCTGCAGGCACCTCGTGCCCGATGTGAACAAGCCAAGAAATGAATGAATTCTCGCTGAGATTGTTGGCATGACTGCTGTCCAGCCTGTCCGGCTACTGAAAGCTCTTCAGTTTGTAAGTCATTGAATCTACTTTCCAAGTCCTCTGTCTTCCGTCCTGCACTTGCGTGAGGCACAACTTCCGTCACGGAATTGAATTAATTCCCTGAACGGAACACTCCTGCGAAGGAACGTTCGCTCGATACGCAGGGGCTCAGATTGCCGATCGAAACCCAATTTCCTATGGGAGCTACCGTTCCAATCCCAAACGCGCGTAAAGTAGTCTGGTCGCCCAAACTCAATCACAAGGGCATGATGGCTTACAAGTCATTCGGAAACAGTAACAAATTCTCGGTGGTGCAGTCGTTGTCAATTATTTCCCCGTAGGCCGTAGGTCACCGTAGGTCTCACAATTTATCAGTGTCTTCACGATGTTAGACTAGACGAATGGGAATGGAATGGTCATACATACATTTACCGTGGTGTATTTTCATAGGAGGACCTGAACCAATGGGATTTGGTCTATTTCCCTTCTTCCAGGGGGTCGAACTGGGAAGTCTCCCTATTTTGATAACCCATTTGTGAGCCAGCCTGCATGTAACTATCCCAGTCCCATGAATGGTCTGGGAACTGACACCACTTAGTTTCTGGTGAATCGTCACGTTGGGTGTGGCAAGTCATGATTCAACAATAACCAAACACTCCATGGCACTGGAACATATATATATATACCTACATTGACCAATGAAACCACCCCAACGTAGATAAATACGCCATACATGGACGGTCAGGGATATATAGAATGATCTGCATCCATCTTCATCCTGTCTTCATCCTGATCTATGTTCTTTGCATGCATGGTGGACTGCTTGGTGTGTCGTGACTTTTCTGTGCCTCGGTGTTTTGTTGTTTGACTGTTCATCTTTCTTTTTAACTCATCAAGCCCTAAGCACTACCTCTCTGACTTCTGGCCCAGTCTCCG